ACTGTGGTTGTTTCCAAGACCTCTTGGCACTCGGCTAAAGATTGAAGTCTTTCCTCTGGCTCTCTTGTCCTTTCTCCTTCCAAAACACATGCCCATTTTTTATCTGCAGCGGCTCGAGACTAATCAGCTGACGGACTGAGACAGACAAACACACAGAACACGAAGTCAGAGATAGGAAGAAAGAAACGCAAGGTCAGGAGTAGAATGAATGGTAGTTCAATTGGTTAAACGAGTTAATAGCACTACTACAATTGTACGAAAATAAGCGTAGTTTCATTTTCCCATTTAATCCTACATTAATTGTTGATGATTACATGCAGGACAACACTTATATTGAAACAGGCTTGGATTCCATGTACATGACATTCAATACACTGGAGCCCACAGACATAAGAACAGAGAACATTTAAACCAGTCAGTTGCTAGTTTAAAAGCTAAAAGCTGACATCGGGGTTTCCACACAGCGATGGGCAGGAGGGCATCACGAGCTCCAACAAATATTAGACTACCTCTGTAACAAACCTTTCAGTAAATAGAGTAGAGGTGCCTACTCTTACCAGCACATTTGATGAATCGTGGCCTTTCTAAAAAACAAAATGGATCACAAGCACGAATCTCGTTACTATCTGAGCTGATTACCTGAGGTGCGACACGTACGGATGATTATATGGAGTGGTTTGTGCTATTCTGCTTACATTTGTTCGTCATGTGGTGAGAGGTGGTCCAGTCTCCTGCGCTGTCCGTTCACCTTCTTCATCACTTACAGCCGTCCTCGCCCTCCACGTCCACTGACAGAGTGTATTCTGACTCTTTCTATTTTGTCAGCTCCGGCCGCAGTAGACATCCGCCTTACCTGAGAGGGATCAGGAGGAGGAGGATTTTAAAAGACACACATTACTGAAGGTGCTCTTTAGCAAAGTGCGTCCAACCAGAGCTCTCTACTTTCTTATAATCTTAACAATCCTGCATTCACACCACCCAGGGGTCTCCAACATGAACGTAGTTGGCTCAGTTTGCCCTCTCTTCTTCTTCAACTGTGTTCAACAACAACAAGCTTGCCGCTGGGAATTAAAAGGTCTACATTAAGTTTATAAAAGTCAGGGAAAGGATAAGATCTTAAAAAAAGCGGGATTATTCATTTAATTGCTCACATAACCTGATATCTTTTAGATTTTTTTTTTCTTGTTTACACACAACTCTCAGCTGTCTCATTGATAGATAGAGAATCCTTCAGACTTTGAGTCTCATAATCATGTGAGACCTTTACGCAGGTTTGTTTGTGTCAAGTGGGTGTTCAATGTGTGCCACATCTGTACAACCCATTCTCCTCATCCGTAACAACCCTTTCTGTTCCTGTGCCAACAGGAGCTGCTGAAAGGAGGTCGGCCCACAGAGGACTGCAGACTTGGCTGACAGCCAATATTATTAACCCCTTCCCTCCTCTTCCCCTTCTTTGGTAACACTTTTCCCCGATTATCTTCTAAATGGTCATCTATTACATCTTTTTCTCTTAACCTCTTCCATCCATACTATGATTTCTGGGTTTGTTTAGTCTGTTAGCTATTATTTTTTTTTTGCACACTTTCAAAATCTTCATGACAAATAGACACATTCAGTCATCCACATTTATTTTATACCGATCTCGCGCCGCGCAACCATTGGTGCGAAGTGAGTGCATAAAACCAAAAGCGGCACAAATGTCCACCGTGTTCTCCGATAAAAAGCCGCCTGATGCGTGGCCCAGGCATGTGCGTTACAAACATTGCCTGTGGTGCTGATGATGAAATTCCTGCCAGTGTGCTGAGGAATATATACTTCATGTCCGCTTTACTTAATTGCAACGGTTCGAGTGCTCCATGTTCTCTCTGAATACGGAGACCCAGCCATCCTGAAAAGTATCTTATTAATAAATCGAACAAGCCTTCAGACGGGGATCTCAGGTTTGCCTCAGGTCTTAAATGACTACTCAGGATTTTTATAGAATAAGATTTGACTGCGCGGTTTCTTATTCTGTATATAAATATGAACTATATTTAATTACAAACCATGAACCGAAATTGGACAATAGGGCTGGAGAAGCGCTTGACCTGATAGGGGCGAGCATTTAGATTTAGTATGTTATATAAGTATGTAAGTATTACTTCGTACTTCATTATTGTTGCGTTCCACATTTTCTGATAAGTAAAAGGTGAAAAGAGCGTTTCAGTTTTAAGGTGAGTGCAATCGTAGGAAATGTCAACAATTGATAAGAACAAATGACAGTTAACTACCGCCTTAGTACACAAGATTGCACCTTGCAGAGACTGACGAAAGCCATGAATAAACGTTTCGTAAGCTGGTGTGTGCCGACGGTACCTTCGAAAAGGCTCTTGCACGAGGGATGGCTTTTGCTGTGACCGGCAATGGTGAGAGGAGGCAAGGGGGGGCAAGTGGAGGACGGACTCATGTCCTGCAGGAGCTCTCTCAGAGCCCTGAAGGCGGCAAAACAGGGGTGAAAGGAACGCATAAAGGGTGTATACGAAAAACATAAGGGCCAAATGCGTAGAAAGAATCACCAGGCAGAAAACAAACTGGAATCAACACTCGCTAAACGGTGTTCGCTTTCGCATTTCATGTGTCAACAACCGAACGATCCGAAATTCCACTTTCTCCTGAATGTGATTTGAACAGGAGCAAAAAGGGGAACAGCCAGTGGCATCACGATGATTTCATGGACATGCAGCCACTTCCTTCCCTGGCCAGCTAACCCCTCCCTTATTAAACGAAGTCCAGGGGGGGAAATGGTGTCACCCATTAACAGGGCAGACTGTCAAACTTCCAAGTGCGGCGGGAAAAAAAGCAAGAAAGCTCTCACTGGGTGTGGTACGCCAACTTGCCAAAAAACTAAATCACAGTTTAGGCATCGGACATAAATCAAAAATCGCCGTTGTGCGTATGACCCACGTGCGTTACCACACTCCATCTGGGCTTTTTGGAATGTTACGAGGATATGACAGGAGAATTTTAGTTTAAGGTCAATACTTGCACGTTGATCTATCCTTCAATCAGTCATCCCTTTTCATTCTATGCATTTGTCTTGTCCTCCCTGTGTTCATGGTTCATATATTGTGTTGTATAATTCTTGTTTTTACTATCACATCGCTTTTTACTTTTTTGCAAGTACACTAACAGGGGGCACGGACACACCAAGACACCACACACACACCACCACAGCCACACACACACCACACACACATTTTTTCTTATTTTATTTATTTTTCTATCACCTTTCACTCTATCTTAACTCACTCGTGTTTCCACACACCACCTATTCTTTTATTCACATTATCTTCTTACCATTTCTATTTTTTTTTATTCTACACAAACCATACTCACTACATTTTACTTACACACACTAATTTATTTTTTAAATCTATTCATTTATATTATCTCTTGTGGTTTTTTGTTCTATGCTTGTGTATTATCCTATGTTATTTGTTTCCAGCTTTTTTCGGCAAGGAGATGATCCCCCATTCATTATGGAGGTTATCTAAACGGTATCCCACTTACCTGTGGTGTGTCGTGTGTGGTGTGTTATGGTGGTGCTGTGTGTGGTGTGTGCTGATAGTTGAGTGTGTGTGTGGTGGTGTGTGTGTGTGTGGTGTGTGTGTGTGTGGTAGTGTGTGTGTGGTCGTCTTTCGTCTCATGGATCGCACAAGGCAGGTCTTTGGAGGAATTGCTAGCTTGTCACAAGTTCTCCAACTCCTGTCTCACCCTGACTTCACCGACTGATGGAGGAGATAAAAACCAAAGGGCAGAGCAACGGGTCCATACGTTATGATAAAATGGATGGCATACCACCGGGGCCTTGGACATAGATAGAGCCTCCTGATTCTGTTATAATTGCGACGGCCTAAGGTATGTATTTTGTGTATATTCAGACTTTATCAATATTGTCCATGAATGTAGAAATGTTCAACCCTAAATCACACAAGCAACACGTTATTGAAAAAACATAGTAAAAAATAGTTTTCAACATGACACATTTCCTACAAAGACACAAACTAGCTAGTGTAGATTTGCCTGTGAAATATTGTGTTGGAAAAACATGTGTATGACTGAAGTTTGCATAAGGCCCTCAGCATGTCCCCAAGAAGACCCTGGAAAAAATGCATCAACTAGAGTGTGTGTGTGTGGTGTGTGTGTGTGTGTTGTGTTGTGTGTGTGGTGTGTGTGTGTGTTTGTGTGTGGTGTGTGTGTGTGTGTCAGCTTCATATTAGTATCTTGCATGTATAGGCACAATATGTGTTTGCATGAGCGGGTAGTTACTGTCGTGTAACTCAATAAATGTTTGTGGTGACGACAAAAAACGTTAAAGGGAAATGGCAGTGATACTAGAGGAACAGAGTAAGTGGATGTTTGGGGAAGTGTGGGTGGCTGTTTCTGAGGGAAGCATGCTATTTTTTGATTAAAAATAAATCAAACTGCCATTACATACTCTTAACCTGCTCGAATAAAAACGCACCCACTTGAACTCATGCTTGGTTTCAACATACTATACGATTAGTATACTCGTGTAAAGGCAGGAATCCAGAAAAGGGCTTAAATACACTGCCACAACATGGTGTTAGGCAAAGGGGAGCAGGAGGACTGCTTTCATCTCTAATTAAGCTACAATACACAGATATACAGAGGGGTGAACATGTGTTACTGCTGGTCATCTGGACACCATGGAAAGCACTCTGCTGATCAAACACTTTAGACAGGATCTCCCAGGCCAGACAGAACCTTATCCACCTCCCTGGTTCGGACACAAAGAGAGATGTATATAGGTTACCATTTAGATCTGTCTAAAGGAAATGGTATAAGGTGGCTGTATGCAAGCATGATGGGGTGCACATTACCATTGTTTCTAATCCTAGCCTGTTAATGTAGTATATTTTTTATTTCCAATTGAATAACACGCGCCATTACAAAACAAGACTTAAGGTGATGTTTTACAATTCAGAAAAGCATAAAAAGAACACCTTGTATACAACTTATGCCATAGACAAGAAGTATTGTGTGCATACAGAATGTGCTGGTGTGTCCCTTCTTACCCATTAAGGCGTTTGACATGAGGAAACTAGAGTCTGTTGAGGTGAGGCAGAGAGGAGGCTCCCTGTTTGACTGCCTCCAGGTCATAGAGCCATAGCTGGCCTTCAGGTCTCGGTTGGGACAATGGTGCTCAGGCCATTAGCTGCTGGAGTGCTAAAACAAATGAAGTTCCATAAGTCATTACTCGATAACCATCTCTAATACGTGCCACATACTTAAAGATTGTAGGTAGGTCCATTTTGGAGAAAACCAGCTCAAGTGGCTAGAATTTGAAAATACTTACGGGACCGGAAAAATCTGCATTTCCTGAGCCCTCCTCCCAACACACACAAGTGCGCACATGACCAATGAAGGGGCATACAGTTTCGCTGACACGATGGAAGAGCTGACAGGCAGAGGTAGGGCCATCCAGTTATTTTAGGCCGGTCCGGGCTCAAATGATATTGTCGTGCTTTTTACGCAGTACAACGGCTTCCACAGATACATTTTTTTATGGAATTTTTTGTCAATTAGCATGTTACATATTATTCATTGCTAGTCGGGGATGTTAAGAGCATTCCAATGTGAGAATTATAAAAAAGTGGTTTCTGAAATAAATTACATACCCCACCTTTAACCTGCTGTATAATATGCATGTTCTACTACTTTGATGTTATTACTGCCATATTCTAAGTATAATTTTTAAACTTTGGCATCTGCGTCAACTTTTGTAAAAGACGGTATACTGCTAATTCGTTTTTTTGACCATGGTGGTTACTAATCTGGTATTTTTTTAATATTATAACAAACAGAGCGCAATTACTTGTTTTGTTTAATATGTAAGTCTCTTCTCTTTTCTTTATCTGCACTATACTTCTGCTGTTGCAATACCGTTAATTGCTCCGTGCGGGAGAAATAAAGGAATTCTGATTCTGATACTTAAAAACAATTATCAAAAATGTGTTTAATTACGATTTCTTTTATCATAAAACACAAAGAACTTGAATGGACTTTATCGTGGTCATACCTTTGAAGCTAAGTGTTAGAATCTGAAGCAATTCAATCTGCGCCGTCAGGGTTTTTAAACAATCCCACTTCCTCCTACACCACAGAGACGCTAACTTTATGTCTAACCTGCCACCCCACAGTCAGTCACGCTGCACAAAAAATAACACTTGCAAACACACACAGACACACAAACACCAACTGAGCCAGCAGAATGCCCCCCAGCCTCCACACACTGTAAACTATACCTCTTCAACTATCTTTTAAGAGTTTGGTATCTGTGGGTTTAAACGCAATGCCGTTCTATCTGAGCTGAACATTAAGGTCTAGCCAAGAAAGGATAGCAGCTTCCTTTTTTTGGTTTACTCAAATAGCTCCTGCTGTGCTCTTTCCTTAGTAGGGAACACTGAGGTTCTCTTTATTTTGGCAGGCCCATTATGCCACTTTTAGTATGGGGAAATATAAACACTAGCCTATACGCCCATACACTTTTATGATTAAGATCTTTAATATGGTCCACATTGTGGCTTTCAAATAAGCTTGGCAAATCTTCTGCACCAAGCCTTATTTTTAACTTTAACTCAGCAAAATATAAAGTGTAAATTAAATGATGTTTTTTAGCTTCACTCATCCATGATGTTTTGTGCTCTTGATCGAAGATATTTGAATGAATCATACATCACAACTGATTTCCAGGGCTGATTTTTAAAATTCCTTCAGCAACACACTTTTTAGGTACTTCTTTATCTCTTTGGAAAAATACTGATACATGCAGAAAACTCACTCCACTCTAGTCACAGTGATTGTCCTTATATATTTGTTACATCAATATACACAGATCTGAGAAACACACACATGTACACACACAAACACTTAAGCTGCAGCCACACGGGGACGATATACGGTCGTATCCGCTACAGTTCTCTATCAGATAGACGGTTCGGCCACACGAGGCCGACAGGGAAACGCAGATAACGATAACGGGTCCCAAGGTGGGTAGATCTGCGGACGAAACGCTCTGGGGGGCCAAACGGCTCCGTGTCTACGGTCTACACCATGGATGTATAATAAGAACACACCCTATAACGATCATTTCCTGATAACTATGACGCAATAGCCCCAGTGTTTCGAGACAGGTCCAGGTATCTCGCAGGACAGTGCATCCAGCAGGAGCTTCCAGCTAGATTTGATCGATATGGACATAAACGCGAGTGAAGTCTAATCGGACAGGAGAGGAGACACGCAGCTCTGCCCGCTGTGATGGAGCGATGAGCGGAACAAAACACACACTTCAAGTTAGATCATCACCTTTAGCTATTTTAATTACCTCTCAAACTACCTAAACTAGTTATAAATATGTTTATTTTTACTGTCGGGTCACTCATTACTGAATCAGCCAGCTGCATGAGACCACGGATACTGACGGGCTGTCAGGAGAGGGGGAGGAAAAGAGAGGCTCCGTCCTCCGTGTATTATTCTTATAATATTATATAGTCGTTATTCAATTGTTTTAGCTCAATAAATAACAAAGAAGACCTTTGACCTGCACTTTTCAAATTTTGTCCGGAAGCTTTAAACTTTAACGGACATGTTGACCGGCGAAACCCCACTTCTGCTGCTAAATCCAGCGTGGAGAATAAACAGAAGGTCAACCATGGCAACCATGCATGCGCGAGAAGTCTTCTTCGCTGCTTTTGGTGTATTTTGTGGCAGAAGTACAGCGCCACTTAGAGGCCCGATATATGTACTACAGCGTCTCCAGCGGTTCGAGCTGTCTCGTGTGGACGGACACGTTTCTGGTGCCTATTGCGTGTGGACGGAAGACTTTTTTGATAACGATTTCGATTAGTTTCCATTGTCGTCCTTGTGTGGCTGCAGCCTTAAACAAAGCTTTGCATCATCTGGGACCAACATGGCTTCCAACAGGATGTGGCTTTCCTTCTTTATGCAAACAGAGGGGGGCACACAGGCAGAGCGGAGGTTCTTAATGCATGCAGAGCACAAACCCAGCACCATTTACCAGCCAAATACTGGTCACATATGCAAGTGGCTAGTAGGATTGCATCATTCACTAGCCAAACACACAATGATAATGTATTGAGTGACTGGTAACTTGTGAAAATTCCCAACAAAGTACATTTTGCAACCTGTGTGTGTGATAGTATTTTTATGTTTGATACAGATATTTTACAGTGTTTAATGAATGACGTGTGCGTGTCCTGGGGCAGAAACAGTGAACGTGAAAGAGAAACAGTGTGTATCTGTGTGTACATGTGTTTATTGTTCATATAATCATTGACACCTCTGTTTACTATCACTGTGAGCAGAGCTGACATGGCCTCAGTTACAGGGAACCGGCATCCTTCCTTTGTGTGTGTGCGTTGGAGTTGAATACTTGTGTGTTTCTTAACTAGATTTATTAAACATGTTGGTTTGAGAAGCCCTCAGAGTAGTTTGTGATTTGATTCTCAGCGCTTACATATCATTACGGACAGCCGAACACAATCAACACAGTCGTCTTCATATAAAAACTTTGTACCTCTCTGTGGGTGTGTCTGGACCAGGGGGAGTGGAGGTGGAGGCAGAGCGAGGGGGGAGGGGTGGCTTCTCATCCTCCCCATCTACCAATCACAGAAGAGGAGAGTTAACATGTGAAAAAAATGAGACAATCACGTCATTTGCAAGTGTGCTTGTGTGGGCTCTGCAGATACCTGAGTAGTCCCTGTCGTCGCTGACAGCTGTTTCCTCTCTGTCCACAGTATATAGCAGCGTGGTGACCAGACCCTGGCTGGGCTGCAGGTACAACGACACCAACTCTGGTAACGTCTTAAACCGCTTAGGCTGCACACCCTGAGACGTCTGAGAGGAGCATCAACAGAGAGAGGAAGAGAAGGGAAGCTTTTGAGGATGACAATAACATCCAAACTCCTTGGCTACAAGTCGTGTTATTGAAATCTCCTGTGGCCCCTATTGTTCCATGTTTTATGTTCCATAAGCAAATATGAACAACGGCTCTAAATATAATTCGAACCAGGAAGAACCCTTTTGGTAAACATCGTTCCCAAACAAATTCAATTCCAGGAAGCAATATTTGACTTTTAGACTCTCTTCAGTGTCGCAGCTCCCATAAATGATACAGCAGAGACACAGATGTCTGTGATGTGGCCACGATAAGTCTGCAGCTACACGTTATCGTGTGTGTGTGTGTGTGTGTGTGTGTGTGTGTGTGTGTGTGTGTGTGACAAAGCATGTGTGTGGCTGGTGGTGTGGACTTCACAGCTGTTGGGCACTACGCACAAAGAGGCTGCTGTTGTCGTGTGTGTGTGTGCGTGTGTGTGTGTGTATGTGAGAGTGAGAGAGCCTGAAGCCAACAAAAGCATCTATGCCTGCCAGCTGCTACTGCAGCAGATACAGTTTATGCTGCACACTTGCACACACACTTGACCTCAGTGGAGCGTGTGTGTGTTTTCTCTGTACCTGAACAGCCAGAAATCCTTCATCGTCTGGGAGGACTCTGTATGTGTGGACGTGCTTCTGAAACCTACAGAGAAGGAAACACCAAAGAAGAAGAGATGTTTGTTAAAAAGTTGGAGATAAACACAGACGGAGAGAGAGTGAGAGAAGAATAACTTTTGGATGACTGTTTGATTCAACAAAAAACAAAAAAATCATTTCAAGTCTGACATGTGGACATACTCTCTTGTTCTCAGTGCATAGGGGTGTGTGTATCATGTATGAGTGTGAGGGGGGTTTACAGAGCTTCAACCTGTTGCTGTCCGTCACAGTTGTGAGAGGGCTTTATCCTTACGGTAGCATGATACAGTAAAGCAGGACAGAGGTCAGCCCAATGTTTATACAATGTAAAAGTGAATGTACAAAGGAAAGACCAAAAACACCCTCCTTTGTGAGACAGGATACAGAGCGATCCTGTTTTCTTTCAGTCAACAACTATGTTTAAACCTTCAGAGTCCGAATTGCATTACTGATTGAACCACAACCTTTTTAATCTTTCAATCGCAGATCAATGCTCTGACATTGTGTTTGCGCAGCCGTGACTACACGCCTGCAGCCTCGTGCTGGAGTTGAATGATTTTTATGTCTGCATGTCACGTCTGCTCGGTGGACCGTATGCAAAATGTGCAATTTGCCAAACTAATGTTGTGTTATGGTGGTGCGTCTGTTTGGATGTGTGGGTGTTAGCCTTGCAGCCAATGCAAAACCCTTGAGGAACTATTTTACTGCTGCTTGTGCTCTGCTTATTGACTGTGTGTGTGTGTGTGTGTGTGTGTGTGTGTGTGTGTGTGTGTGTGTGTGTGTGTGTGTGTGTGTGTGTGTGTGTGATACGTGTTATAGACTGAGGGAGGGATAAATCCATGTTGGGAATTCATCCTGCTCTGCCGCTCAGCTGTTTTTCCGGTCTTTCCAGGTCAGTGTCCCACAGATAAAAAATCAACCAAAACTTGGACTGGATTAAAATATACGAATAAAGTAACTTTATTAGAAGCAGAGTACTTTTCTGTTAGACTTAAGCAAATAGTAACTTGTTCAAAATCAAAACATGGCTCACTGCCAGGATGGATTATTATTTTAAAAGCAATAGGGCTGGCACAGGTTTAAAATGTATTTATGCTGCAAGGCCATAAGTATTTAAAAATACCAACGTGCTGAGACTGACATGGGTCTGTCTCATATGATACATATTGCTATATAAAATAAGGCAATTTGGATGACTAATTTTGAACAAATCTTGCACTGGAACATGTTTCTGAGACCATAATCCATCCATGCAATGAGCCCTGGTACAATTAGAGAACACCTGAAGGATGCGGAGAACACCTGTATGCAATCTCAAGAAAGTGCTGACTCAACATTTTTGGAAATTCAACAAGGAGTTTCAAAATGCCAAACGTTGTGCCAGTGTCTGGCTGACAACATAAAACTGTTTCCTGTCCATCTGGAAATAAAATATAATGCGTTTTTGCTCTCACTGTGTTAAACTTTTAACCTTTGGACAACTTCCCTACTGTGGCCAATATTGTTTTTACAGGCTGCTTACCGGCCATCCCCGCTGTAGTAAATACCCCAAAAAGTATTTTTTTTGGGTATTCTTGCATTTATCTACAGCACACAGTGAAGAGGGGGGAAGACAATAAAACAAAGGCACAGATTTATACCAACGCCATCAGAGTTAATTCATATTAGACTTAGCTAGCTAAACTACATGGAAAGAGTGTCCATGTTGAATTGATTTATAAACAGGATATATCCTGTTTATATAACCCTATCTATCAGATTGTAGCCCAAAAATAGTTCCATATGTTCTTTCTCCGGCAGTTAATCACATACACAGTGAAAACTTGGTAAATATTTGCTCCTGGTTAAAGGCCCAGCATTTAACGCGGTCAGTGAGATGTCCTGTTTCTGTTGTCTGTGCGGCCTCTGAAAACCATATCCATATTTAATCCTGTCATATTATAAACACAATGCACTTTAGGTCTAGTGGCACAGAATACATACACAGGAATCACTGCAGTGTACAGTGGTGTGTTTGTACGTATGTATGTACGAACGAACGAACGTACGTACGTACGTACATACGTACGTACGTGCGTGCGTGCGTGTGTTGGGGGGAAGGGGTGTTTGTATTCCTGCTGGCAGCTGATGAGATTCTCTGTGGAGTAAATACTATTGTTTCAGTGGCAGCTAAGTTCTAGCAGGGGGAGGGACACGGAGAAAGAGAGGGAGGTTTATTATGGGATGGACATAGACCCAAAGCATACAATGTGTGTGTGTGTGTGTGTGTGTGTGTGTGTGTGTGTGTGTTAACAACAATAGCCTTTCTTAAAGATAATGACTGCCCTGACTCCCCTGTCCTTTTGTCTGAGAGAGCCACCTCCTCTTCCTCTGTGTCATCCAACCTCAATTGCAGCAGTTTAGTCCCTGCTCTGTAGACCGTATGTGTTTCAAAAACACTCCAATGACCAGGTCAAACTAATTAATAAGAATATGCTAAATCATTCTTATACTAGTGTTTATAATTCAAAATGTAACATGTGTTTCACAGCTCATCTATTAATACAGAACAAATATTTTCAAAGCAAAAAGAATGGGCGACATGTTACTATTTTCAAACACTTCAGTACTGAGCTAAAAGCCACTATTCACAAATGATTACACTTATTTAAATTAAATCCATCACAACAAAAATAAATCTGTATCACAGGTTTCTGCACCTTCACACAAAAAAAGACTGTAAAAAAAGGACCGTCTGTGCTTTAAAAAACACTATAAATATATATACACACCTACCTGGAATCGAGATATTTAAAGAAAAAGCATACATTAAACCACCCACTAACTCCACAAGGTAATATTATAACACCCACTGAAATGAGGAATGTCTTCTACGAAACATCTAGGTTTCAAACACACACAGAAACACAGAAGGCCATGCCTGAACCGTGACATGTTTAGACGCGCTCTACTGATAATAAAGATCGTCTTCCTGACAGGAAAAATACGAAACAGTTCAATATCTCTGCAGTTTACACACTGATGCATACGCAATGCTTAAATAAAAAATATGGTCGAAATCTCTTTTGTTGGAATCAAAAGTGTGGCACTGCAGCTGGAAACATTGGAGAAATAACTTACTTAGAAATGTTATCAAATATTTTATATTTAAGAACAAACTGGGGAAGCAAATGATAAAACTCGAACATACTACACAATATTGAAGACACCTGATCTGAAACACCCCTTGCTGAGTTGTATGTAAACTAAGAGGAAGTGAAAGGCAAAGGCCGAAAGATAAACTGGCCAAAAGTCACCAACACAAACACTGCTCCCACCATTCTATTCTCAGACAACAGCAGAGTGCAAACACTTCCTGAACACACCGCTCACTCTCTACATCCCTAAGAATTAGTACACATGTCAGTGTGCAGTATGTAAGGCTCAAGGGTTAGGTCAACCCATGTCTTACCCAGGTACAGCCATGTCTAGTAGTCATGTTCAGGTCAAAAGAATAACATTTGGCATTTACATGTATAAGTCACCTGGTAACCAGTTGAAAGGACTTCATGAAATTTGTCTAAAATCTGATTTTCTTATGTTTCTTAAAAATCTTGACCACCCATTACATTAAAATGTTCACATATAAATGCATTTATAATAATAATCTAAGAATAATAGACATAATATTATCACACTTTGAAATAGGATATTGCTCATTATGATTACTACAACTTTTAAAACTTGTAGTACTGTACATTCTTCTTCCAATAATAATACTTTTATGATGGTAAGACTAAATACAAATGATTATTTCAGCGCTTTAAAAAAAACAAATATATTTGTTTACACTTCGAGAGGGCATGCTTGGAACTAAGGTTGCAAATTAATCAAAATGTTATCGGAATCGTACTGTGGACTGGAGTACTATCCATATTGCAGTAAGCACAATAATTGGTAATATGTCAAAATACCATTCTGAATAAGTATTGTGGCGCTGCAGAGAAGACCCAGTATTCTACAGACTTAATCAAATAAATCCTCGTTTGGTACGGATCCTCTTAAAAAAAAGAAATCCCACCATAATCACGTTATGATATTTTTCAATGAATGATTGTGTGGACATCAGGCCTGAGCCTCCAGTACACCACACTATGGGCTATGACTAACATCGTGTGTGTGGAAGCTTTTCACACGCCTGGTGATTCAGATTTGACTTCCTGGAAATCCTTTATTTTACTGAGATATATCAGCGCACAGAGTCACAGACCATGACATCATTTCCTCCACGGGTTCAGGGGTTGTGCAAAAATACTGGGGCATCGCTGTTCTCAAAGATATAATTGATCGAGTTGATTGTTTCACAACACTTGACCATATAACGTGTTACTTTGTCAAAATACAGTTTTTTCGTACGTATAGGCAAAAGCATCAACACTGTTCATAAAGCAACGTTTGAGTCGACTAAAGCCTTTCTTTGACAAACTTAAGGTATCATAAAATACATTTTCTGAGATGAAACAATGTCCGTGAAAGGTGAAAGGGGAGAGGAAGGGAGAGGCGGGGTAAAAAATCTGGAAATGGATGATGCATGGTCGTGAGGAATGTTGTTGGCCAAAGAGTGACCCACTGAATTACTACTGCATCCAGCAAAGAATGGGAACAGGGATATTTGCCACCAGTATTTATTTGAATAAGCCAGGAGCCAAAAGGTGATGCAAGCTTATTGTTTTTCTGGTTTTATTTATGACATGGGGTGTAATGTGTTTACATCAGAGTTAGCCCGTCCTCCTAGAGGAATACAATATGGTGAGGAAATAGATAAATGATTGAATGAATCATGAAAACAAATTATTTCTGTTTTAGTGTCATCAATTGTATATGAGTGCATTTGTGTACTTATACACTTGAACATATGGTGCTTATGTATATTTTGTGTGTGTGTGAACATATGAATGTACAAAAAGTCACTTGAAAATAAGGGTTCACAATGTTTATATGCATATATTATTATTATTCATTTGCCAAGTACATGTGTACATGCAGTATGTATATATTTATATATAGTATTATCCTTTTCAAAAAAGATAGCTGAAACTGCTATTGACAGAAAATGACCCTATATCTAGTTTTCTTATATTTCTGTATGCATTTATTTATTTTTTGCCCTAACTTTTTTTTCTCTCCAGTTTTCTTTATTTCTTTGTGCTCCTCAATTTCTATATGTTTTTGACGCAATAATGCCAATGTTGTATTAGGACGATTCACGGGAGGGCTACTTCCCATAAGCTATGCTTCAGCCCTCCCGCTTCTACTAATTTTGTTCATCTTTGTGTGTATGAATTACACTTATTTATTTATTTTTGTTGGATGAATTAGTAAAATAAAAAACAATTACAAGTATATACAGTATGTATTAACTATTTTTTTTTCAGGAGCAGAACATACTGTACATTATGTAAAGTAGGTTCTGATCCTGGTGCGCGTGTATACACACACAATAAACTCAGCATGGGGTAAACGATCAGATAGGGGATGTAGGTCAAGTCAATGTCGGAGTACCAGAGTAGGCCTTTTATTTCCTGCATCTATCTGCAGTCAGTTTGAATAGTTTAACTTTGTGTGGGAACTGGCTGGGGGGGCAATGTGAGTCATTTTTTCAAAGTTTAACATCCCTTTCCCACAGTTCATTTGCCTTGCCTGAGTCATTGTCAAGTGATCAAAATGCTGATGGTATCGTGTAAGTTTGGAAGCTTGTCTGTCTGTTACATTTTCCTCTAGTCAGCAGGTGGTGAGGTCGTTTAGATGCTGGCTGAGCATGGAGGTAGTTGGTGACAAAATCTCCCTTGTATAAATATGGGTAGGCCTTTCATCATTTAGTTTAGGAAAGACTCGAGCAGGCCCTTTAAAGCTCTGACATATGGATTAATATTACATTTTTGTATAATGTGTCAGAAGCAGAGGTGGAAGAAGTACTCAGATCTTGTGCTTAAAGTTAGGGTATAGGTAATTCACTTCAGAAACACTTTTTGTTATATTCCATGGAATGCTCTTAACATCCTGATAGCAATGAATAAATTAAATGCTTTGACAATAAATATATACAAATATTTCATCTCTGGAAGCCGTGGCGCTGTAAAAAGCAAGTCCAATTATCTGCCTCGGCCCGTGGCAGATAATTGGATGGCCTACCTGCCTGTCAACCTTCCATCTCGTGCACAAATTTATCTCGTGCCCTCATTGGTCATGTGCGTGTTCGTGTGTGTTGGAGGAGGGGCTCTGTAAGGAAGTCTGAAGGAAGGGACAGATTTTTTTTGGTTGTGTACTTTGAAATTCAAACTCGAGCTGGTTTCTCCATTCTTACCTGATTCTTACCTACCCTACCTTTAAGTGAACGTAGAAGTACCAGGGTGTAGAAATACTATGAAAGTCATGCAATCAAATCGTTACTCAAGTAAAAGTACAAAAGTATTAACATCAAAATATACTTAAAGCACAACAGTACTTTCTATGCAGATTGGCCCCTTTCAGTATTATAGAAAGTACATGTTTTAATTATAATTATTGATGTATTAAAGTGTACTTTGTATGCTGCAGGGTCTTTTACTCCAAGTGCTGCTAAAGTAATTTCAAGGGTTGATTATTTTCACATCATTAAACAATATCCGCAAAGTAACAAAAGGCACTAAATAAATGTAGTGTAACGATGTACCTCTGAATTGAAGTAGGGTAGAGGAACAAAGTAGTAAAAACTGTAAATACTCAAGTACAAGTCCCTCAGAATTGTACTTAAGTACAGTAGTTACTTTACACCACTGGTCAGAAGATAGTACGTATAAATAGCTGCTTCACCACTGCACTGATCTTATATGAGCCTTACATTAAAACATCTGCAAGGCTCTACCAGCCCTTTAGTTGCTCTTTATATTTCCTCCACCACATTGAGTTTCAGAGCCCTGTAAAAACGGCGCTCCAGGCGGCCACATCAGACAGAGAGGGACAGCCTGAAGCTGTGTGCCATGCTGGAGTCTCACTGCCTTGCAGACAGACAGTCTCTCTGCCACTCACTGACTTCCAGGAGAAAGTAAACAAATGAGTTTGGCTGTTGATCACTGGTTTACCAAAGCTTCAAAGAGCTTTACAGTTTGATCAAACAGTTCAGGAAAGTGTGTGTGTACAGGTACAGTTTATTTATGTTGGTATAAAGCCAGACCAGGTGGGGATTCCCTAAAGGCATTTGCTAGGTTAAATGAATTAGAGATGGTAAGAAGTACTCAGTTCTTGAATTACTCAGTACCTGAGTAAAAGTAGATACTACAGAGTAGGAAAACTATGTTACAGGTAAAAGTCCTGCATTCAAAAGGTTACTGAAGTAAAAGTACACAAATATTAGCATCAAAATATACTTAAATTACCAAAATAAAAAGAATTCATTACGCTGGTGTAATTGTTGATTCATTTAAGAGTTATTATTGCTAATTAATTTGTATTATTTGTTATGCTGCAGGGTAGCTTGTGAAAGTTACTCCAGGTGTAACCAAACGTGTTGTTCAATTTCACATCATTGCATAGTAACTACAGATATTAAATACATTTAGTGGAGTAAAAGTACACTATTTACCTCTGAATGCTAGTTGGGGAGAAGTACAAAGTAGCAGAACATTGAAGTAAAGTACAGTAGGCCTACTTGGGTAAATCTACTTCACACCACTGCTTACAATACAATAAAGCAAACATAGGCACGGCTCCTCACTTTTCCTAGTGAATAAAGCACAGTCCGCACACACGAGTTCAGAGTTCATACAAGCTTCTCTTTTCTTCCATAAAGTTACTTACAGTACACACAAAGCGTAAGCCCCGTTGACACTCTCGCTGTCCCGCACCAGGAAGCTGCCGTCCCTCCCGGCCCGGGCCAGCAGCTCCTCGGCCGCCGCGCGACTCAGGTCCCGGTGATACCACATCGGCGGTGCTGGCCCCAATGGAGAAACCCCTCCGCCTCCTCCACCTCCACCACCCCCGGCCATGGCCACAGCCCTTCAAACCTCAAACTGCTTCCAGGCTTCTCCGAAAAACTCGCAGCCCTCCTCCAGACTTTAGGGAAATAATCCAGCGAGAGCACCGTGGAGTGCCGAAACAAGCGCAGAAAAGTAGCGTGAAACTTATTCCGACGATTTTAAGGGTCGCCAACGTGTCTATGAAGTTGTGAATTTGTTAAATAACCCTGTTTGTGCTTGTTTCCTCAGTTCCTGAAAGACCCAGCACCCTCCTCTTTCGCTTCCCAGTCCCACGGAAATCAGGGTATGTAAATCCACAGTGAGACCGGGGAGCAACAACAGGGACGTCCCGCGTCAAAATCTATATATTGTCAATATAAATTACTTCCGGTTAGGGTTTCCAGAATAAAACAGGTGGATAAAGAATCTATATTGAGACATTTTATTTTTGTGGAATATTCACGCACAGTGTATTGCCTGTTAATTGTATCTCTAGCTAGCTTGACGTGCTCTCTGAAAAAGGAGGGATGGAGGGATAAAGGGACACTGGGATGAAGAGAGGTTGAAGGGAGGGATAGAAAACTACATTTACTCATCTGTACAATTATGGGATACATTTATAAAGTGATGGATAAAGTATTCAGATGTTATACTGCTTAAATGCATTACTTCATTTATGTTTCTTAAACATAGGGATACCTTGACCACCCACTACATTAAAATGTTCACACATAAATGCATTTATAATAATAATCTAAGAATAATAGACATAATATCTATTACACTTTGAAATAGGATATTGCAATGCTCATTATGATTACTCAAACTTTTAACACTTGTAGTAGCCTAGTGTACATTCTTCTTCCAATAATACTACTTTTATGTTGGTAAAACATTTTTTAAATCAGGACATTTACAAGTTGCTGGGTACAAAGTGTTATTAGTGTAAAGGAAAAGGATGCAAGTACTTCGTCCTGGGGGGGGGAAGAGGTGAAATACAGTTCAGTTCTCCCCTTTGTTTTTAAGTGCTACCCATTCATTTATCCTGTCTGTTTTTGGCATTTGCTTACGTTTCTGTAATCGTATACAGCAGCTTTAAGTAGTCTTACATTGTTTAAAATAAACCAAAGATGTTCTAGGAAATTAAATCATTCTTTAACCCATGTGGATAAAATCTAAAAGAAAAAAAGCTATGTTGTTAAAGGTCCCATGTCATGCTTTTCCAGTTATTACCCGTCCCCTTGTGTGTTATGTTGCTTTTTATGCATGTAAACGGTCTGAAAAGTCACAAACCCTCAAAGTACACCCTGTAGCGAGTACAACTCTAACACAGAAAAGACCTCTCTATGCTGCCCCAGAACGCCTCGTTGGAGATTTTTCTTTTTCCATTATTTTCTTCCTGAGTATTGTGACGTAACCATGCCCAGGTCCAAATGGACAAATCCGTGGAGCTCCTCACACACACACACACACTCACTCAGCCTTATCTTATCTCAGCCGCGCTACTCCGCGGAGTTTCGCCGGCACACACCTTATCTTTTCTCAGCCTCGGCTCCGTGGATCTCCACTCACAGTTCGCCACACACTCACATGTGTGTGCTCAGGCTGAGTTCCTCTGTGTCTCACTGTCTCGCAGACCCCACGCAGCAACCAGGAAACGACACCAGTAATCCAGCTCACACTGTCCGCTCCTCAAGCCTCAAAGGGCGGAGCAGCGAGCCCCAGAACATCCCGCCAACACGGCACCCAGACCCCACGCAGCATTCTCATCTGTTTTTCATTACTGGTGTCATTTTCTGGTTGCTAACGCCATTGTAACACAAAAACACATATCAGAGCAAAGTGGACTCATAGGGAGGGGGGGCAGGAGCTCCAACAAGACATGTAGGACAGAGAGTGAATACACATAGGCCCTACTATACAGAGATACTGTATGAGAAACCAATGTGATTTTGGAACATTGAACAATGTAAATCTATTCTAGTAGACCTCAACAATGGAATTATGATCTGTAGAAATGCCCATGACATGGGACTAACATATAACAATTTTGTTTGGTTTCTCTCGTATCATGCTTCATGTTGTGTATTTGTGTGAGAGGAAATAAAGTTTTCAAAGGGCTGAGATCCAGTGTGATCCTTGCAGTGCACTGAACTCGTGAGGCATGTGCTGTCTCTCCTTTTCTCAGCTCAAATCCCTTATGGCAGATATGCAGTCTTTTCACTTGTTCAGACCACACGGTCCGCCAGAATTGCAATTGGTTCCATCCGTACAGGCAAGATGGCAGAGAACAAGAAAGCAGCTTGCCACGCAGGTATAATTTTACGTCTTGGCCAGCATAAAATGCTGAAGTGTTAAACGTGTGGTGAGTGAGCACACACGAAACACACACACTACTGCCACGCGTACACAGGAGCAACAC